GGTGTGATAAGTATTGGAACTGGTTTGGTGGAAATCGGTCGGCTTTTGGACGGTGGAAGTTTTGAGACAGAATGGAGTTTTCTGATTTCGCAGGTTCGCTGGCTCTCACCAGGCGAGTGAAGGCGAAGCTTCGCTGGGCGAAGCCTAGCGAATGGCTGGCGAATAATTCAAGAAAAAATCCCAGTGGTCTTCGCTGGCAAGTTCGCCAGGCGAAGGTGGGTGGCGAAGGTTCTCCAGGCGAGTGCATTAGCGAAGGGTAGCGAAGTAAGTCAGTAGCTACTGACTTTGTTCGCTGGCGAGTTCGCCAGGTGAAGGTCCAGCGAGCATTCGCCAATGGCTTCGCCAGGCGAAGGGTGGCGAACAGGACAACATTGTTTCCTTTCTGTTTTATCCATCCAATGGTTGTTTGCTTGGTTCAATTATGTTAATCCTTATATGATATGAATAGTTTGTGTACTATTGTGATACGTTGTGGATAGCCTTTGGGCGTGAATCCTAGATTTTGTAGCGTGTATTATTTGCATCGATTAGAAATACCGGAAAACATAGTGATGATTATGTGTGTATTATTCGATGAGTTGTGAATGCATAATGTTGTATGCGATTGTGTGTTAAGTATGCATGAGAACATTATGGATATGTGTGCATGACTTGTGAATTATGTTAATGGTATTAAATATGAAATGCCTTGATTTGTTGAGAATATGTTGTGTGTGCAATCATGTTGTAATTCTTGAAGAGATGAATTATTTGAATGCATGAGATTAAGATGTCGATCTTAAGTGCATTTGATTTTTGATTGCATATGCATCATTTAGTCAAGAGGCAATGCTTGCTAGTTTCGTGGAGACTAGTGACTTGTCCCAAGCCTAGAAGAGTGGGTTTGAAAGCTTAGAGGACGGACTTTTGTTGTTATCGGTCTAGAAGAGTGGACCCGGTTTAATGTAAAAACCGAAAAATGATAACAAGTGTTGGTACCACATAGCATTGAGTTGCATTGAGTTGTGATTGAGTCACATAGCATAAATGTCATTGATATATGAGGTATGTTTGTGAATGTGATGTTTTTGGGTAATTGTGAATTATGCATGAAGGGATATGCTTGATGCACGCTCATATTTGTTTATATGTATGACATGATGAATATGATTAGAGAAATGAATTGTGGTGAGAAATGTGAATTGTATGAAATGATTAATTGTGTATATATAAACTTATGCATTGATTATTATGGTAATATTTCTCACCCTTCTGCTGTTTTATAATGCTCTATGAGGCATTGCAGATTAGGTTGCTGGAGGTTTCTTTTGTGAAGTATAGCTTCATTCTTTTGAGTCAGACTGCTCTGATTATGTAACACCGGGTAGTTAGGCTTGTATAGTATTCTTTTGTGATACATTGTGATGTATCAGTTGATGTTTTGTAACATGAATGATTGATGAACCAAACTGGATAACATGTATTTATGTGATCAAATATTTTGAAGTAATTCAATGTTTTATTCTTCCGCTTAATTTCAAATACCGAGATGTTAAGTGTTTTATTGGTGATAATGTGACATACTTCTTTTATACCGTATTCTAAATCGTACTCTGATAATTTTGTATGTGCCTATATATATGCTATTGTTTTATTTGGGGGTATAGAAGGGGGTGTTACATATACCTTGTATGTAATGGTATGTGATGAATGATGAATATATTATGAAATATATTGTGAATGCATATTGATTGTATGCGATAGAATGTGATGAATGTATGAAAAACATTGTGAATATGTATGCATTCCAAGAGTGTCTGGAGTTATTTTGCATGTGAAGCATAATGATGTGCATTCTTGTGTTGTGTGATTCTAGTGAGAATCCGTGGGAACGTCGTGTGCCTATGAGAGGTGTGAGTGATGGTTGCAACTGGATTGTGTGCTCGGTTGGGGTGTGAGCAATCCATATATATCGTGTGCCCATGAGAGGTGTGAGCGATGGTTGCAAATGATTATGTTCCCATGTGGGGGTGTGAGCAATCGGATTGTGTGCCCAGTTGGGGTGTGAGCAATGGGTGAACATCATGTGCCCATGTGGGGGTGTGAGCAATGGTTCCAATAAGTTCCTGAGTGAACTTGAGATGATTGAGTCGGTACCGCATTGCATCTGCATAGAGTCGTGAGTCGGTCTCTATGATTTGCATTTGTCATCTTTATAATGATGAACTGGTGAATAAACATAAATGTAAATGTTTATATGAGATGAGTATGATTGTGAAATAAACATAATTGTAGATGTTTATGTGAATTGTAGTGAATAAACATATTGTGTATGTTTATGTGGATTGATTGAAATAGTGGTAATACGCTTGATGACATGCTTGGATCATATATATATATATATATATATATATATATATATATATATATATATATATATATATATATATATATATATATATATATATATATATATATATATATATATATATATATATATATATATATATATATATATATATATATATATATATATATATATATATATATATATATATATATATATATATATATATATATATATATATATATATATATATATATATATATATATATATATATATATATATATATATATATATATATATTGTGATGTATAGGAGTGAATTATGAAGAATGTGGTGAGAATGTGAGATATGTATATTATTATGTTAAGATATATATGATTATATGCATTGTTATAATAATAATATTTCTCACCCTTCTGCTGTTTTATGATGCTCTATGAGGCATTGCAGAGTAGGTTGGCTGGAGGTCTTTTTGTGAAGCGTGTCTTCATCTTTTGGTCGGTTGGCTCTGATATGTAGCACCGGGTAGCTAGGATTGTATAGAATTCTTTTGTGATACATTGGTATATGTATCTGCTGATGAGTGTTTATGTAAACATGAATGATGATGTGAATCAAACTGGATGATATATGTATATATGTTTGATGATGTTCAATGTTTAGATTTTCCGCTTTTATTCTAAATGTTGAGATGTGGGTGTAAGGACTAAGTTTCTCTGTTGAAGTTACCCCATTGTTGCATATCTTTAAATGAGTAGGTGTTGTGTGTTTAAATTTCACGATAACGTGACATGCTCTTTTATACCATGTTTTAAATATACTCTTATAGAATTTTTATTACGTGCCTAACTGATTTATTTGATTATTTGGGGGTATAGAAAGGGGTGTTACAATGTCCACCGTGGGATCGTCGGAAAATAGGAAAAACAAGTTGAAAAATGTGAAAGACAGAACAAAAAACATCCAATACTTACTTGGAACGACTGTTCTATACAACGAATACGACGATTGGTATGGCGGCTGACGGCGGACGTCGCTGTGTAGAGCTTGAAGAGGCAGAAGAGAAGGAAAAGCGACCTCAAGAGCAGAGAGAGTGAAAAGTGGGAAATAGAGTAGGACCGAGCTATTTATGAGCCTAGCACGGGATTCAAGGTGCCCCTAGGCACTCAAGCACCCCTACCCCTAGCCGCCCTAGCCAAGCAGTGGCTGTCTGACTCGTGGAGGCTCCAAAAGCTCAGCAAGCCATCCGTCTCCCCATTCGGCTCCCTGTGTGCCTCCTAACATCCCCGACATATTCACTCTCATGGCACAATAAGCGACCTCGACTCCCTACGTCGGGCATATGCACTTTCCCGAAGAGGACCTCGACATTTCAACCTGCCCTTAAGTTACCATTCCTTCACCTCGGAGCAGCGACTTATGGGCTCCTGTTCTGGACTGGGTCAAGACCTGCCCTTCAGCCGGGCAGATCCAACCCAAGGCTACGATGATGAGGCCCAACAAGGCCCAATCTTCTATGTTAGGGAGGAGCCTTAACAAGGCTCATTCCCCGGGCAGAAGACCTTTGGACGGGGAGGTCCACACGCTTTTTCCACGCAGGGACACGTCATCAGGAAACTATCCACTTTCAAAAGGGATGGTCAACCCACCTTCCGAAGATCACAAGACAGTTGATACAGGGCGAAGACCACATGCTGGTCTTTATTATGCCATGTAAGCCCTGACAGTTACTTGTTGGGTTTGGCAATCCGACCCAATGCAATGTAATCGTTGATCCTACGTTGGGGGTACATTATAAATACCCTCTTACACTAGAGAGTCAGGTATTCTATTTTCCACACATTTTTTCTGTAATTGTTCTCTCTAGTTCAAGTACTTACTTAAGTATCCGAGCATTTTGCAGATACAACCCATTCCTCCTCCAAAACTCTGGTGAAGGCATCCGATCACGACGCGTGGCAGGTCACTGACTCCTTTCTGATCAGGTGAGATCAAATATATACTTTCATAATATACAATATTTTTCAAATTCATCCAATTCAATCACATTTTTAAAAAATATTCTTGAAACTGATTTGAATATTGTAATTATAATAAAAGCGAGTAAATTAATGTGTATATATATGTCATTTTAAAAATCTTATTCCATATTAGTTAATGTTTTTATAATAATGTAATTAATTATGTATTGTAGAGAGAAAAAGATATAAAAGATATTTAAGAATAACATAAAAATAAAAGATAAATAATTAATAATTATATCAAGTATAATAGTGTTTATTAATTGTGTTGGTTGATACATGTAAGACATCTTTAAGAAAAGAAAAGAAAAAGGGAGTGCGTGTTTGTATAAAAAATATCTTACATCCACTTTAATTAATAATGCAAAATATAGAAATAAATAAATTTAAATAATATTTTATGACTATTAAGGGAGAAGTTAAGTGATAAGATAAAAATTTATTGAAAATTATGTATTGGATCAATACAACATTATAATTTACTGTTTTATTGTTTTTTATTTATGAGTTTTTTTCTTATACAAAATTAATTAGTTTATATTAAAAAATAGTAACAAATGCTTCTAGTAATTTAAAATAGCCTTATTATATTTTCAATAAGGGTTATAAATACACTTTGTTAACTCTCAAACCCGATACCCGCGGCGAAACCATGGCAGAAGAAGCTTCATCACAGATGAATGCACTCTCTATCTCTGATGATAAACCATCTGCAACCGCAACGATCTCTGATGATAAACCATCTGCAACCGCAACGATCTCGCTCATATCTTCTGACAAAATTGTTTTCAACATCGATCCTTCAGTCGCAAAGGAGATGGAAACCGTTCAATCCTTCATATCCGAAACCGACGGCGAAATCACAACAATTCCTCTTCTCAACATTTCCAGCCACGATCTTCCACACATAATTGAATACTGTGAGAAAAGCATCGCCGGACAGATCACCAAGGAGTACGAAGGCGAGTTCGTGAAAAAGCTGAACAATGAAGAGGTGAAAGAGCTTTTCCTTGCCGCGAATTACTTGAATACGAAGAAGCTTTTTGATTTTCTCAGCCAGGTGATTGCAGATCGGATACAGAACAAGAGCGTGGAGTATGTGAGAAAGTATTTTGGGATTGAGAGTGATTTTACGCCGGAGGAAGAGGCTGAGCTTCGTGAGAAACTTGCATGGACTTTTACTGGAGTGGATCCTGATGAAGATGAGGATTGAAATTAGGGTTTGTGAATTAGGGATTTTTTTTATTGAAGGTTGAAATTATGAATTGGCATGATTTTAGGAAACTATTTTCAATCTATAGCATATCAATATAATTTAATTTGCAAAATTGTGAAATTGAATTATGAGAGCTTGTTCTTTTAATTATGCTGCAACTTTTTGTTTCGCAATGCTCGAACAAAAGGGCATTATTTTTTTGTTTTAAAAAGGCCGAGATCCAATTGCAATTTTAGAGTTGTTTTTGTTATTTAAAAGAATTTTGTTTTGTTTTGTCTTCTCTCTTAGTTTTCTTGATTTATTGTTTTGGGTTAGTTAAAAAAAATAGTGGCTTTCAAGAATAATTGCCTATTTACTTAAAGTTAGGTTTAGGGAATTTTTTATTCTCCGTTATGGCTATAGAAAAAATTAAAAATATCTCTCAGATTTTGTACTCAATCTATTCTTCGTGATGATCTTCATTTCTGTAGTCAGTTAATTCAATTTATGCATTTAGGTTCTAAGCAATTTTAGAATTGTAACACAGTTATGATGACTCGAGAGCTGTGTCATTTGAGTTTACGGTCAGTGGGACTTAGCGGACTTTCCATTTGATTTATAGTGACTGTCTGGTTAAATGATTATGGTGAACCATCATTGGCTTTTGATTTGAAAGACATCTTCAACACTTCTTTGATGTGTACGAAGGAAAGCTTATGATTGAAACCTTTATTGGAAGGTGTCTTGAATGCATAGTCAAATTAACTGAGAATTACCTATCCCCAGGTTAAACTTGCGGTAATTTTTTTCCATACAGGAAGAAACTCCAACTTCTAGGCTCAAAGTGTTTGACAAGGGATTAACTTCCTTATTTCTCCAATGTTTGGAAGTTGAAATAATGTTTGTACATCATCCTCCCTCCAATCTTTGCATAAACAAAAGCTTAATAGAGAAAGTGAACAGAAGATATATTTTTGTTTTGTGAAAAAGAAAGCATAAAGATGCACACAGTGGACATAAATGAATTGAATCAAAACATTGCAATGCTCATTTCATTAAAATTAACCATGAAAGTAAAGTAAACATACAATACAATCAGAGAAAAATGCAAACAGAAAGAAACAATGCCTAGTGACTAATCAACAACAAGGATGAGTTGTCCTGTCTGAAACATTGGCTTTGGGAAATGATCTGTCTGAACTGACTCAAACTTCACTTAGCATGCTATGGCAAAGGATTGTTGACAACATTAGGATTGCTATCTTCAAAGGTGAGGATATTGTCTTTGATCAATTCTTGTACTCTAACCTTCAATGCATATCAACCTTCCAAATTATGGCCTGCCCCACCTTGATGGAACTCACAATGAAGGTCAACCCTATAACCGGCTGGTTGAGGATTTGGAGGAGGAGGTAGAGCGTTGGTTGTAATCAAATCTTTATGAACAAGAAATGGACACAACTCAGTGTAGGACATCGGGATAGGATCAAAGTTAGCCTATTGTGGTTCTGACTTTGCCTAACAGCCTGACGAGGAACATGAACTGGTTGAGCATTGACAACAGGAGCAACTACAACTATATATTGTTATTGCTTATGATGAGGTTTCCTTTCAAATGAAATAGCATGGGTATCAACATCCTTCTTCTTTTGAAAGTTCCTAACTGACTTTCTAGCATGGCTATCACCATCCTTCTTCTTTTGAATGTAGCGCTATGTTAAGCAGTCGTAATCGGGTTTATATAGAAACCACGACTATCTGAGGCCGGTCAATACAATTTTAATGCTAATGCATGCTAGAGAAGTGATATGTAGATCACTATCCGAAAGCAATACCGCACAAAAAGAAAAGAGGTAATGATCTCATCTTCATCAAGAACTTGAAATAAGTTCAAACGATATCGAAGATTTTCTTCGATCAAAAGAAAAAGAGAAGAGGAGAGGGAATCCCAAATTGAATTACAAGTTCAAGATCATTCCATTTTTAAGTTCATCCACTCATCTTGGTGGATTAAAGCACTAAACATATCAATAACTCAAAGCACCTAAAATGCATTGAACAATTCACTTTAAAGATAGATTTGAATTGATGAATATTTATCCAACTTCATCTACACCCTAAGTCCAATTAATTTAAAGAGGAAAATGAACTTTAAAAGTGTATTTTAAGGCCAAAATCAAAAGGAAATGAAAGAAGAAGAAGTGAGAACCAAAACAGTCCCAAAATAAAGCCAAAAAACACGTTGTGTACTATGCAAATCAATTGCACAACAGAAAATCAACGATTATGGGCAAAAAAACAGTGTGCAATCGATTGCACACTGACAGACAACAATACAATCAGCATTTACAAGGCAAAACAATGATCAATTATTTCTTCAAACATCTCTTGATCAAGGATGCAATTGAGCACGTAAATTCAAGTAAAATAACAGCAAATAGCACCAATAGAACATAATTTGCAAGATCCAAAGATCAAACAACAAGAATCAACAATAAATCACATTGTGGAAGATGGATCAAGCACAACAATGATGGAATAGGGTTTTACCACTTCAAATTTGAAAATTCTTCAAATCAAACTCCACAAACACTACTTCAAAGCTTTGATCTACAAGAATTGAGGATGAAAAAGTGAATGGATGAAGGTTTACCTCAAAGATTAGTAAATTCTAGTGATGAACTTACTAATCTTTCAAAGTGAGAAAGAGCTTTGGTGAATTTGGTTATTGGAGAAAATTGAAAGTCAAGAAAGAGTTTGACAAGGTAATTTTGGCTATCAAAAGCTTGAGAAATGAGACCTCTGTAAGAACACAGATTGTTTCTTAATTATATCTCTATGTTTTGATGATAACTCTTATGAAATTTTGTATTAAAGAATTATATACTCTAAAATTTGTTCAAGAATGTTTGTTGCAGATATTAAAGGAAATATACTTCTGAGAGAAAATTAAATCTGAACATACAACTATAAAAGGCTCTGAAGTGTCAGAAGCATCTGATAGAAGAATCTGAACGCTGCCTACAGAAGATTCTGAGCGCTGTCTGCAGAAGAATCTGAAGCCGAAGCTACAGAAGAATCTGAAGCATAAGCTACAGAAGAATCTGAAGCAGAAGCCTCTGAAGCATTGAAGACTTTTGTATGAGAGTTAAAAAACACAGTTTTTCAGAAGACTCTAAGAGTACTACACGCTGCAAGTACTGAGGATCTGATCCATAAAACTCTGCTCTGATGGAATTACACGCTGAAGCACACTTGCTGCATTGCTCTGATTCAGCAAACTCTAATGGACATCAAAGACTCTCATCACTCTAGGCTCTGATGTTATTTGCTGAAGTATGAAACACTTGTTGAAGAAGAATTCAAAAGTTATGTCCGTTGGTTTGGCTCAACGACTCTTTCCTCATTTATGCTAGACACTAGAACACAGACCAAAAGGATTTCTCTGTGCATTCTACTTCTAGGAAAGGTCATGTGATGTGAAGACAAAAAGGTTTCAGCCTTTTCAGTACACAACCTTCAACGTGAAAGACTTCTTGGACTACTGTGCCTATAAAAGAAAGTCTCCATCATCTTCTTCAAGTTGACAAATCATTGAAAAGAAACTCTTACAAAGCTCTCATAAATTATTCTCTTTACTGAATTTATTTCATTGTTCTTAATCCTAAGTGATAAATCACAGTTGTGATATAGCTTATTTAGAAGCATTTAAACACTTGTATTATTCTTACATTTGATTGTAAAAGATCCTTGAGAAGATCCAATTGGGATCAGTAGTTCTTGAGAAGAATAAGAACAATTGCTCTTAGTGGTTGATATTGTAATCAGTTGATTAATAGTGGATTAAGTCCTTGTTGAGAAAGGCAAATCACTCTTGATAGGGTGGACTGGAGAAGTTGAGTTCAACGAACCAGGATAAAAATCTTTGAGTTTTTATTGCTAGAAGTTTTTCAATATACTTATTCAACCCCCTTCTAAGTATTTTCTCACCTTCAGTTGGTATCAGAGCCTGGTTCTGTGTGTGCTACCACTTCACAGTGACAGAAAAGATCCAGTGAGAAAAAATTTGATATATATATATTTGGTTGTTATTATGGCTGATGCTTCAACATCTAACAATAACAACAAATATGAAGAAAGGGATAGAATCAGCACAAAACCCCCAATGTTTGATGGGGAGAAATTTGACTATTGGAAGGACATAATAGAAAGTTTCTTCCTGGGCTATGATGCTGATTTATGGGATTTGGTCATATATGGGTATTTTCATCCCATTGATGGGAATGGAAAGTAAATAGATAGAAAATCTATGACTGAAGTCCAAAAGAAGGAGTTCAGAAATCATCACAAGGCTAGAACAATCTTGTTAAATGCAATATCTCATACTGAGTATGAGAAGATCACAAACAGAGAAACTGCATGTGACATGTTTGAGTCTTTGAAGATGACTCATGAAGGAAACTTGCAAGTTAAAGAGACCAAGGCTCTGGCTTTAATACAAAAGTATGAAGCGTTCAAGATGGAAGAATCTGAGTCTATAGAAACTATGTTCTCTAGATTCCAGATCCTCACAGCTGGTCTAAAAGTGCTGGACAAAGGCTACTCTACTGTTGATCATGTGAAGAAGATCATTAGAAGCTTGCCCATTAGATGGAGACCAATGGTCACTGCTCTGAAGCTAGATAAGGATCTGAACAAGATCATTTTGGAGGAACTAATCAGCTCACTGAGGAGCCATGAAATTGAACTTGAGGAAGATGAGCCTCAAAAGAAAGGTAAGTCAATTGCCTTAAAATCTAACAAATCTTTTAAAGCATTGCAGGTGTTAGAAGAGAATTCTGAAGAGTCTTCTTCTTCTGAAGAAGATGAACTGTCCTTGCTGTCTAGAAGAATCAAAAGACTCTGGAAGCACAAGCAGAGGAAGTTCAAGAACTTCAAGAAGCCAGATCAACACAAGGAGTCCTCTGGACCAAAAAGATCTGGACAGAAGGAAGTTGTTTTCTATGAATGCAAAGAAC